GTCCGTGTTTCAAGACGGGTCGTTTGCGACCATTATGCCAGCGTCCGTGCCGAAGCGCGTTCCTCAGCCCAGGCTGGCCGCATTGCACCTCCGGCTATAAGGTGCCCCGGGGGGCACTACATTCCGGAGGCCTTTGACCGGCCGCCCAAGCTGACGCTGGCCCGCCCCCGGGGAAGTACACCGGCACGAGTGCCGGCTGACCCCCGAGGGCGAGTCTGGTCGCAAGCGCTTCCCTTTCAACAATTTCACGTGCTGTTTAACTCTCTTTTCAAAGTGCTTTTCATCTTTCGATCACTCTACTTGTGCGCTATCGGTCTCCGGCCAGTATTTACCCCGTGGTCAAGGAGCATCTGGATCATGTCCATGTCCATAGATGTGTCAATTGTTGGCAGGATGATCGGCTCGGGCGGATTTCCGTGGCCGGACCGATAAATCGACATTTGAGGAAACGAATTAGGGCGAGCACCATTATCCAGTAAGAGGCGAAAGACATGGATGCCATCCTGCCACGACACCTCCGGTAGACGAGGCCCCATCCCGTGGTAGGGGTCGTATTCTTGATTCAGGGCTGCGTCGGCGGGAGCTCGATCCAGGACATCCTGCGGGACTCCAGGAGCCGGATATTCACGGAGAAGACAGGCGAGGGTCTTCGGGTGACGAAAAAGCGAGGCGGCAATCACCGCATCCGGCCACTCCCCTGCGGCGATAAGGCCCGCAGGCTGCAGTCGGTCAATAAAGCGTTGCACGGCGGCCTCGCAGCCCCAATAGGCCGCAGTCATAAAGGCTGTATGCGGTCTTCCGCCCTCATCAAGCTGTCCTAATTGCGTGCAGCAAAATCCATCGGCCGACACGTCGTCCTGGGAGGGATCCGCTCCCGCGTCGAGCCGAAGGTCTAATTAATTCTGGAGAGTTTGCCATGCCGGCTAGGTGCAAAGGAGGTAAGCAAACAGCGCCATACGACTCACAGCCCTTCTGATTGACATCAAAGCCGCGTGAGATCAGGAAGCGGGCAATATCAAAATGGTTGTTGTTGATTGCGATGTGAAGGGGCGTGTCGCCGTATGTGGGCAGATCCGCAGAATCAGCAGATTCAAGAAGCACGGCGATGGCAGGCAAATTGCCTACTCGAGCCCATCCTATCATTTGTTCATTCAGCCCGCTCATTGCCGGGTACGGAACTCGTGGGTAGCATGCCATGACGGTTTAGGAGGCAAAGAGAGAAATAACTCATGGGAAAGATCAAATGGAAGACAACTACGAGGGGAAAGGAGGAGAAAGCAATTTTATATGTTCATGTTTCGGATGTGACACGGAAAGAATACATGAGTTACAGTACGTGACGTGTTATTTACTGCAGATCACAGACAACCGCCATCTGCCCCGTCAAATTCGCGCATGACCCTTGAAGCCCCGAAGCCCCGATACCTCAAATCCTCAAGTCATCTCGAATATTACTCTCTAGATCTTCTCTGTGACCGAATGAATCAAGCCGAACAACTACCGTAATCTGCTAAGCAGTTTGCCGCTGCACAATACGCATCTGAGCTACCGCAATAGCCGTTCACGGAGCAGCAAACCCCAAATTGACTCCCAAGGCACGTTGCGTTGTCGGAGGACATGAAACCGCAGAGGCCATCGGTGCTTATGGGCAGCTGAACGCAGTTGCCAAAGGCAGACTGACACTGACCAATTCCGCAATATGCGTCGCTGCTGCCGCAGTAGCCGCTCGTAGAGCAGCAGTCACCAAAATGGCTGCCCGCACAACTGGCGTTAACAGATGGCATGGAGCCGCACAATCCGTCCAGGCTGACCGTCACTGTGTCACAATTGCCATAAGACGAGTCGCAAGAGCCAATACCGCAGTATTCCTCTGTGCTTCCACAGTACCCATTAATGGAACAGCAGTCACCGAAGGTGCTACCCGCGCAGGTAGCATTAGAGGAAGAAAGCGCTCCGCATAAGCCATCTGCGCTAACTGTGGGGCCAGCATCACAGGTCCCGAATGCAGACAGACAACTGTTATAGGCACAGTAGTCGGAGGTGCTGCCGCAGTATCCGTTGATCGAACAACAGTCGCCGAATGTACTACCAGTACAGGTGGCATTAGAAGATGATAGGGCACCGCACAAACCATCTGAGCTGACTGGAGGAGCCTCAACGCAGCTTCCAAACGCGCTCTGGCACGTCTCGTAGCCACAATAGTCAGAGGTGTTACCGCAATATCCACCAGTGGAGCAACAAGATCCAAATTGGCTTCCGGTACATGTTGCATTGGTTGATGAAAGGGAGGCACAGAGCCCGTCTAGAGAGATCGGATTGCCCGAAACACAATCACCAGATGTAGAGCGCAGAGTCCCGCGGCGCAGTAGTCAGAAGTACTGCCACAATATCCCGATAGCGAGCAGCAGTCCCCGAAAGAGGACCCCAGACAGGTTGTACCGTTTCCACATAGCCCATTAGTGGAGACGGTCAGATTACCACTGATGTTCGTCGCATTGAAACCGCGTATAAGGTGAATACAGTAGGTCAAGCCCACAGTCAGTTCATCATCACAGGCCAGCGCGGACGTGATTGAAGGGTTTGCGGCCATGAAAAGGTTAAATGGTGTATTGGCTTCTGCTAAGAGTGAGACACACGTATCGCCGGACACAATCGTATAATAATCTCCGCAGTCAGTGGTTGTGCCATCAGCAAGAGTGATATCGCTGGGTAAAGCAACAAAGTTGGTCCCATGACCTGACCCCGATCCGCCTTGCCCGTCGACACCTGACGTCGAGCTAGAGTTGGCGGAAACCGTGAGATTGAAGGTCCCTCCAGGAGCAGAAACGCATCTGACTCCACCTAGAAGAGCGGTATCGCCTATGTTCGAGCATCCGCTGTCGACCATACCGTTGTAAGAGACAAGTTTCAACCACGAAGTTCCGGTCGCAGCAGTAATCGAAGAACAATTATCCCCCGCAGCGATCTCGTAGACATTTTCACATGCTAGGGGCAGGCACAATCTTAGCCCTAATGTCGGATCACTGTAGTTATACAGCGTGGGATTGATTTGATATAAAGTTGAAGAAGAGATAGATTGGGCAAGGGCGATAGAATCACATGTGTCTTCTGGCTGGACTGTGTACCAATTGCCTGTAGAGCAAGAAACATTTGCCACAGGGATCTGAATTCCCCCCGAAGTCGGCTGTGTTTCTACGCCCTGTAGGTTGCAAACTGCAACGATACTAACGGTCAGCCACATATCCACAAATATTAATAGGTAATGCGGAATCCAAGTACCCGAAATCGAATAATTAAGCATGGTCTCGTAGGGGGCGCTGTAAGCCGAATACGGCAACTGCTGCATTAATTCTAGCTTCGTAACCCAGCAATCATCGCAAATATTTGCCACCGGCATATCGGTAAGATTCGACGCTGAATCCCACAAGTCGAGAATATCTGCTCCTTAAAGGTTATTGACATGTCCACATTATACTACCCGATCTTACAAGAGTTAACATACCGTTGCAATAAGTGCCATTGACGTTCTTCAGACAAGTTTCATTCCAGCCTGACCAAACACTGTCAATCACTGATAAGGCTGGGATCCCCTCTGCAATAGTTGCATCGGCACCACACTGTTCCACAATATTGTCATGAAAGCTAGACAAAGACTGGCCACACTGAGTCGAACACACGGCGTCAGTCAGAACCGCATTGTTTAGACTGCCATGCCAGACCGGTCGCCCAAGCGTCGATACATAGCTATTGCATTGTAAGGTGCTATAAAGAGCATTTAGGCAGCTCTGGGTAAGGCTGGAACTGCTAAAGGACTGGCTAGGAACCAAATGAAACGAAGTAGAATCAGTTGAAATAGAGTCGCGTGCTTGATGTCCATGAATATGCGAGTGAGAGTAGTGACCATGGCCCCAAGAGTAATGCCCGAAAGTACCTTGCACCAACAGAGACGACCAAACGAAAGTGTCAATGGAGCGTATAATGTCTGGCTGACTAACAGGCGCCTTAACGGCCTGTCATGTGACCAGCCACTGGTGCCTCAGGCACCAGTGGCCCTATATATGTACATAGTCCAGAGTGAAGGCCCTGCGGGCCTTCCTCTTCCCTTTTTCCCCCAAGAATGGAATTCTTGCCTGGTTAATTCATCTTCTTTTCATAGCCTCACGCATATTAGAGGACGCGGGTAGGCAGTTGGTGAGACCTCACTTCCTTGCTGACGCCACCGCACTGCGATTGTGCTGCATATGAGCATTGACCAAGTGGCCAGCCGCTAGAGCAGAGCACGTGCTTAACTCGCCCGCCAGCACTGCAGCGGCGACAATCCGGGCTAGACGGCGCGCATTGGCACCAGGGTCAGTGGGATGCGCACCGCGCACCCCGAGCAGGTCCAGCATGGAGCCTTGAGCCTCGAGGATGGTGCCTCCGCCGATCGTCCCGACCTCCATCGAGGGCATCGAGACGGCGATCTGGAGGTTCCCATTGATGCTAGAGCAACCCAACGTTAGCACACACAGAGATGCATATGTACAGCCGGTCAAAGAAACAACGGGGAAAGGATGGATGAAACACACTTCTTCATGGTCGTGATACAACTACTACTCTCAACATTTTGAGCAGGATCCTGGCCGGTGGCTAGAAACACCGCCTGAACAAGATTGGACGCATGGGCATTAAACCCACCAATACTACCGGCCATGGCACTGCCGACCAGGTTCTTAGCAGTGTTGAGTTCGACTAACGCATCAACTTCCGTCTTCAGAACCTTCCGCACGGTGTCGGCGGGGATCGTGGCTTCGGCGATAACGGACTTGCCGCGGCCCCCAATCCAGTTAATGGCGGCGGACTTCTTGTCAGCGCAGAAATTTCCTGAGAGTGTAATAGTGTGCATGTCCGGAAATCCGCCCTGCACAGCCATCGCCTCGAGAGCCTTCTCGACCCCCTTAGAGATCATATTCATACCCATCGCGTCGCCGGTGGTAGTGCGGAATCGAATATAAAGGTAGGTGCCTGCCTGCGCTACAGTCAGGGTCTGAAGGCGGGCGAACCGGCTGGTTGCGTTGAAAGCGGTCGTGAGCACCTCGTGACCGACGGACGACTCGACCCAGCGCTGAGCTTCAGCGGCGCGTGAAGCAGAGGGGAACCCCAGGCAAGGGCCCCGTGTCATCCCATCGCCCTTGAGCATAGTCACCGCGCCGCCTCCCGCGTTGATAGCCTTGCAACCCCGACTGGCGCTGGCAACGAGCACTCCCTCAGTTGTGGCCATCGGGATAAAGTACGCTTGGCCATCGATCACCATAGGGCCGGCGAGACCTAGGGGCAAAGGGAGGTATCCAATCACGTTCTCACAGCAGGCGCCGTGCACGAGCTCGTAGTTGTAGTCGCGATAGGGGAGCAACGACTCTTCGACGCCGCTGCTGAGGCCTTGCGTGGAAGGCGTCCTCGATACAGCGGCACGGCGGATCCGCACGGCGCGCGTAAATGCTTCCAGTCTGGTTACTGCGCTGGACGATCCCGCTATGATGCGCTCTAATGTCTTCTCTAAGCTATATCCTGCAATCTTACCCCGAAGACACAGCTCCAGCAGCTCGTCGTCGGTCAGAGATGTTGCTTGGTTCGATTCGAACAGGGCCTCGATCTCTTCGGGGCTTCGAGAGCTGATGTCAGTGGCAGAGGGGGCGCGTGGTAACGACGGAGAGGAGCTATCTATGACAGCTGACTCTTTTTTGGTTCGGGGCAGAGCATGCCAGCGGGCGGCCTGGATCAGATGGTTGTTGAGAATGAGGCTGATGACCAAAGCGCTTATAAGCCAGAGTCGACCGAGCGGGCTTTCCAGTCCAGCCAGCACACCCTCAAACACGGGGCGTCTAGTGGCTGATAAATCATGCTTAGATGACTCTAGGACATACCGAACAGGCATTAGCACTGTCGCACGCGTCTCTACCCCCTCGCGGCGAGCTGACAGGTAAATATCGTTCAGACCGTTGGCCGCTACTCTGAAAGGACTGACAGGAGTAGGGGTCAGAGCGGCTTTAGCCATAAATCCTCCCATAAAGCGACAGAAGAAAGATGACAGTTGGAGCACGTTAAAGAGCACGAAGCCACCCACCATCAACAGTTTCCAACGGGCCACGCTTGCAGGCTTGACCTTGTACCCAAAAATTCGAGGGCCATGCTGCGCGTCAGCTTGATGAAGCGCACCGGGGCCCCGGATCCGCGTCACCTCTAACTTCACGCAAAGAATCGTGGCGTAGAAGGTGAATAGCAGAATAGCATCAACAAGCAGGATCCACACAGCTAGGAAGCAGAAGTGACCGAGACTTTCCTGCGGCCGGAGTGCCGCTCCGATCCCCAACGCGCCGATTTCCAATAGATACGACCGCAAAATATACCATCCTTCTCGATCAACCGCGAGCTGAATTGTTTTGGAAATCGATTGGCTCTGGCGGGTATCATCCTCATTGTTGCCAATGAAAGCAGACTGCTGTAACCCGCTGCGCTGGAGGTTTTTAGACGAGTCGAGAACGGTACGAGTAAATTGGATCGGCTTTTCGAAGCCTATCGTCAACACCAGGAACGGGATACCTTCCCAAAGCAGGAGCATGTCGACAGGCACGCGGCAGGCAGTCGTGATGCCAAGTCCAAGTATAAAGGCGAATGTGCCAGAGAGTAGGACCGAGGCTGCTAACCAGAACCTCGAGCCGAGATGACGCATCGCCCGAAAGAGAGAGACCACGGTCAGATTCATGGCTAGGTAACCGAGCCCAACAATCACCAAGTCAACGGTCTCTGCATGTTTGGCACGGTGAAGGAACGCGAGCCACGAGCTTCCGAGCCAGCGTCTCAGTGACATGTGACTTCCTTCTCCACGAGGAGACCTGATTATCCAGGTATGATTCTCGTTTTCGGAGGCTATGGTATTGACTGCCTCCAGAAAGCCGCTTAATTGGAAGTATGGAACTCGAAACGCCAACGAGGCATCATCAGAGAAAGTGAAGAAGTTGGAAGTAGGCGGAATTAGATCCGCACCGAGAGACTGGGCGAGCGAATCTGACAGAAGGGAGATACTATCCGCGACAGAAGCATCTGGTATATTAAGGGTGACAAGGGCCCAGTGAGAGTTCGCCTGATAGATCGCAGGACAAGCACCGTTTGATCAGCACCCAGAATTATTTATCAGATTGATGGGGCGGGAAGAAGTCTATCATACTTGGTGAAACTCAGACGCCTCAGGCAGGTCATCGAACTGCCATCTCCAGGAGCTGGTCGCTCCGAGGTGAAGAGTGCGGCTGCCCCAGAGGAAAGACTGGATGTTCAAGGGGGCTGTCTCGATCTCGGACCCCAGACCTGCATTAGTAGCCCGATAGCTCCCTTCCAAAACATGAAGATAGGTCATGGCCGCTGCCAGAGCAGTGACAAGCAGAGTATGAATGGGGTTTCGACACGCCTGTCCCACAAGTGCACGTAACCCTGTGGTGATTCGATGCTGCACCCAGCCAGGATTCGGCCTGATCATCACAGATTCCATTGTGATGTTATCCTCGATTGTGGGAAGGGGGAGCACTGTTGAGTGAACAATTGGGGCTATGAAAAAATAAAGCAAGTATAGGGCTAGCAATAATCCATGTCCTCGTTGAGAAACAGAAGAGAGATGATTCAGCTGTACAATTCAAGGGCAATGGTTTCGTCAGTGGGATAGGGAAAAAAAGAAAGAAAGAAAGAAAGAAAGAAAGAAAGAAAGAAAGAAAGAAAGAAAGAAAGAAAGAAAGAAAGGAAACGAAAGACTATGGGATAACCGGAGAATGGGTTGTGGGAGCAAATCAACTTGGAAGCAATTCGGGGCTGCTAAAAGAGACTAAGGAGCATAAGGAGCATAGGAAAGGGACGAAGCAGGTCAGGCCGGTCGGGGAAAGGACCTACAACAAGGCTACGGAGACGTTAGCCTGTTCTTAGCCAGGTTGCCATTTGTTTAACTAACTATTAACTACTCCGTAACTTGCCTCTTTGCGTCGCGGCCGAAAGAATAAGCACTAGGAGGAAACACCAACGAGGGCCCACGCCATGATTCGGCCGATCTCCTCCCATCTTCAAAACCATACTCCGGAGTATGTCCACATAAATTATACAGTACAACATATACATACATACTTGGATACGTACTGTACAAGTGTTGAGTGTAGATAGTACTAAACTACCTAGTAGCCTAGATGGGGATGTAGTGCGTATACGTAACCTACCCAAAACTACTAACTTATTCAGTATTAACGCTGGTGGTCATCTTATCTTCCCCTTTCTTACTTACATAGTACGGGTAGCAAAAGCGACGGATTAGGTCCGAGTGCCATCGTCTACCATCATACAAGTTTCTACCTGAGCACGGAATCAGCTCACTAAGACCCCCCATCCTCATGCCTAGATAAGGTGCTCATTGAGAATGCCCAGCACTAACAGTCCACACACTAGACCTACTAAGCATGAGCCGAGCCCCAATTTGTTCTCTGACTGGAAATTTCCTCCGATGAGGCTTCGGAAAGACTCTAATCAGATCGTCGTGGTTTCATAACCAACCAGGAATCCGCCATTCCGAGCCTAGACATTCTTCAATAGCGAGTATTGCGTTTCATTAAACCTACGATCCTCACAACCTAGGACAGTACAATCGCGATGGCTGCAGAAAAAGGCATTTCCGCCCGCTCTGTCGCTCTATCGACAGCCCAGAACTCTCACACTGGCGAAACCTTGCCTCGCCGTGCATTTCAACGATCTTTTGATCGATGCCATGCACAGAAAATCAAGTGTACAGGGAATCAGAGTGGATTGGCCTTGGGTCCATGTCAACGTTGCCAACAGGTTGGACTTGGGTGCGTCTACAGTGAACGATGCCCCAAGCGCAAGCTACGCAAAACCAGCGCAGCGAACCTTGTCCCTGCAAACCCTAAGCACATGTCCTCGCCCCTGGTCTCCTCCCTTACCTTGCCGCGAGATGTGTCGGGATCGCACTCTGCACCCACTTCCCTGCCCTTCCTGGATTCCTCTGACGATTTCGACTGGTTCTGGCCCTCGATTGACGTGGATAGTCTCCGTATTTGTGGATAGCACCAGGCTGCAAACACCATGATCGACTCGGAGCTTCTTACTGTGCAGTGTGTCGAAAATATCGTCAAATCAAACTGATGACACCAGAGACCGTGTCGAGTCCCAATTCGCGTTCCAAAGGCTAACGGATGTGAGCATTGAGGCTTCAATTCTCATGGTTGACCCGAAATTGTTTCTAGAGCTACGCACACTTATTTTAGACTTTACAATTCAACTGTCTTAGATTTTACATGTCCATGCGAGCCCCGCCCCTCCCAACTTGCTCAGGTCATAATCACTGCACTAACATCGAGGTTATATGACCGGCCCCATATTCCGGCCTTAGGCTAACCTGATTATGGTATAAATGTGGGTATGCTTTTGCACTCCTGAGTCTTGGTTGAGGTTTGACCATCCGAACATTACAGATCATTCGTCAGTTCGTTCAGGCTATGTCTATGGCTGAATCTGATTTGAGGTTTGTTTTTTCTCTGTTTGGAATCAGAAGCCGGGGTTTCGAACTGAGTTGTCCCATTTCCTCGCTTATATGGCCCCACTGCGCGGGCCCCTCTCCAGGCTCCATGATTCACTCGGCGCCCCACCATCGATTAATCCAATAGAACAAGTTCTCTACGGGTTCCAACATTGCAGTACTCCGTACAGTAGTTTCAAGGATAGGACCAGCCAGATTTTGAATTTGTTTGCTTGATATAGGGTCAATGGTCTGGCCCAGGCCCGGCAGCCTAGCCTGAAGCGACGCCAGAAGTCAAGAAGAAGACACGAAGCCTGGGATTTGAGGATACTCAGGAACCAAGCAGTTGCGAAAGTCAATGCATGTAAAGTGGGACTGCGGATTCATGGCGATGCGGTAGAGGCGCCTTCACCAAGCTTCTGGCAACGGGACTTGAAAGCACCCCTCCTTTAGCTAACTACCTATTACACTTACGTAGAACAAGCCTTTACTAGCTCAGATATAAGTGCCCTACTGATCAGATCTGGCTTGGTGAGTACGAGTTATCTCCGGAGAACTCAGATGAGTGTGCTTGACACGGAAGAGAAGGCCGCCCCCCAATCCACAAGAAGAGAAAAGAAGTAAAATACAGAGCGTATCTCATGGACCGAAACTGCAGTAGCAGCGACACCTGGGATATCATAGTCTTTTGCTTCTCATCACAACTAAGCTAATCTCACAGGCTAGGTCTAATTGTAACTTCGGTAAACTCTAGTGGTGTTTCTGATGCTACTGGATATGTCGATTTTTGTGGCGGTAAGCATGGCATCAGCCCTAGAAATACACTCAGCTGTGGAGATAACTCACGTTGGAGATGTCGGATGGTGCGAAAATACGTAGTTCTTGTCAAGAAACTGATTGCCCCCAACGTCCTCTGTGCCTTTTCGGGCTGAGCTAGGCCTAGGAATGGTCCAGTCCCGGACCGGATCATGCGGTCTTTAGTCTTTGATTACCCAGGACCGCACCATGGACAGGCGCCTTGACGGCCTGTCATGTGACCAGACATTAATGCCTCAGGCATTAATGGCCTCAATCTATCTACATTGTTCAGAGTGAAGGCCCTGCGGGCTTCTTCCTTCTTCTCTTTTTTCCCAAGAATGAAATTCTTGCCTGGTTGACTCATCTCATTTTCGTACTAGTTATCACAAGAACTACTAAATCCCTGTCCTGGGGTTTTCTTACATGATGTCCGCTAACGCGTGAGGAATAACGCGTGAGGAATTGCTTCGGCTCCGCTTCAGCTCCGCAAAGAACTCTTCGATAAGGTTGATATCTGGCGAATGAAGCAGAAGATATATCAGAATAACACCTCAATCGGCATATAGCCGCTACATCCTTTCAGTCCGATGGAACGATGCATTTTCTATAATAAGAACAGATTTTGGTTCTGGCTATTTGTTATAATGCTGGAGGAGCTGCTCGATGAAGTCCTCAAAAGCATTGGCATCAGTAGACCCTTGAACACACCTCTAAGATTTATTTTATCTTGGGCATTTGCAGATAGTAGTTGGAAGTTGATCACGACGGAATTTGGCAAGTTGGACCGGGATTATATCTAAAAGCGACCACTGCAGTCTGTTCGCCGGAATCCAGCTTTCTTATCACAGCCTAATTTATCTACAAATATCAACTGATTTGACTGGAATACTGTAAGATGATAAAGAAAGAAGCCTCGCAAGTCAGCAGTCTGTTCTTTGGCAATCTGTCGCGCTGTTTTTCTAGACCCCCCGACCGAAGCAAGTGCTCTGCTGATGCTCTGAATTGTCACATGTTTTCCAATTTTGTCCCAGATCCATACTGCCATTTCATCTTGATAGAGATTTGGCTTCTCCTTAGATGTTCGCAAAGAGCTTCGAGCATGAAAGGTATAATAATGCGTGGGCGACCTACACCATTGCACCGTGCTTGGACGTTGCTGGATGTCTGCAGGTTGGAGCGAGTATACACAATTAACTGTTTTCTGCAGTCAGTGATGTGAGCCATCGGAGATGTTGTCAGAAAGCTTTGAATCATGTGTTGGATTAGTTCCAGTTGAGCGGGCTTCGAATTTAGAGCCATTGTGCGTTAAACAACCTCCGTCAACTAGGAGATGTCCATTAAGCAAACGCCCTACGTGGCCTGACGATAGGCATTGTGAGGTTCGGATCAATTAGATTCCGTTTCTGCCAATGTGATTCTTATATTTGCACGGAAAATGCCCCACCGCTTGGACGTAGCTACGTGGATATCTCCTCTGGAAATTGACCACTGCACCTAATACTGTGTTCCTGTTCTTTTGCTTTTTGTTTTATTCTTAAGCCTTATTGATCTAATCTTTGAGTATCACACGGCTCAAAATACTTTTACATAATATAGAAAGATTCCTGGGACCTGTAACGAGCAACTGTAATTATCATACTTGTGGTTACACACGCAATTTTTACTTTTTGTAGTGCGGGGTAGCTGAGTGTTGTAGCTAAGAAACTTGTATATAAGGCCTTAATCTTAGTCTCAGCTGGTGTGTCCGGTGATACATACTGTTCTAAAACCCTCCGCTCAAACGATGAACAACTCAACTGCATCTTTTACTGCCGATAATATTGGACTCCAGGTCGGTCAAAATCCTGGGCAGATTAATAGTCAGTTTTACTACAATTATTACAATCAATCTGATGATTCAAAAGTGAGTGAGATAATTACTACCACTGCTTACTTAGTCGAATTTTTCATCTTGGGATACGGAATGACTTACACTTTAACTCTTTAAAGACCATCAATCCCGAGCTTGATAAGCGGCGGATCGAAGAGGAGAAGGGTGGCCTTCTTCGAGACTCTTACCGCTGGGTGCTCGACCATGATGATTTTATTAGATGGAGATACACTGCAGGCAATCAGTTTCTCTGGATCAAAGGTGATCCTGGTAAAGGCAAGACAATGCTAATTTGTGGTATTGTTGATGAGCTTTCAGAGAAAGCTACGCAAGACAAAATTAATATTGCCTACTTCTTCTGCCAAGCCACCAACAATCGTATTAACAGTGCTACAGCGATTCTACAAGGACTTATTACTATGCTTAGGAAGCAACAGCCTCTGCTCCAGACCCATATTCCTGCGAAGTTTCTTGACAACGAGAATAGGTGGTTCGAAGTCCACGATGTCTTCCACAAGATACTCCAAGATCCGGCTACCCAGAAGACTTACCTAATAATTGATGCACTGGACGAGTGTATCATTGATCAAAATAGATTTCTTAGATTTCTTGAAGAGGAATCATCAGATTATCAACATGTGAAATGGATTGTCTCAAGTCGAAACTGGCCGAGTATCGAAAAATATCTCGATAATACAACAGGAATCAGACTTCACCTTGAGCTGAATGAAGATAATCTGGCTGCCGGTGTTGACTACTTCATCAAGAATAAAGTAGAGGCGTTATCAAGAAAGCATGAATACAGCAAAGCAACAAGAAAAGCTATTGAGGATCATCTTGTACTCAATGCAAAAGGAACATTTCTCTGGGTAGCTTTGGTTTGCGAGCAACTGAAAGATGTTCCCCCTGAGTACATCCAAGCGGAACTTGCAACGTTTCCCCCGGGGCTTGGCATGCTATATCAGCGAATGTTGGCCAACATCAATGAGCTAAAATATGATGCTAAGCACTGCACGTCTCTACTTGGGATTGTAGCCACTGTCTACCGTCCTATCACATTGGATGAGTTATCATGTTATCTCAAACTACCAAACAGTTCGACAAGCGACATAGAGTCTGATGATAAGTGCCTGATCAAGTATCTTGAAAGGATTGCAAGAAATTGTGGTTCTTTTCTTGCTCTTCGAGGACATACAATCGCACTGATCCATCAATCTGCGCAGGACTTCCTTCTCAAAGAGGCCTCCCAAGAAATTGCTCCAAAAGGTGTGCGAGAGATACACTACTTCATCTTCTCGAGGTCTTTACAAGCACTTCACAAAACATTACGGCGCAATATTTACGAGCTCGATGACCCTGCAATTACAACTGATCAGATCACGCAGCCAGATACAGATCCACTACAATCCATACGATACGCATGTATTTATTGGGTTGATCATCTTAAAGACTATACTCGAGACGAGATACCAAGCAAAGAAACCGGTGAACAGCTCCGAGGCACAAGTTTGGAGCGCATATTCTTTCATCGTGAACCTTTTCATTTGCTTCATAATTTCTGTCGGTTGAAAAGCTTCTTCGAAAAAGCGATCTTGATACTCATCTTTGGAAAAGAACAACTTCGAAAGAAGATTCCAGCCGGACGATTGATGGCAGGACTGCAAGGCGTGACTTTACCTATGACCATATACCGAACTTTCATTCAACATCTGGGAGCTTCTAGCCTACTAAGAGGCCTATTCAAGACAGCCATTTCAGTACGAAGCCTCAGAAGCCGACTCTTTCGAAGAGAAGAAAAACGCAAACAAAGTCAAAGCTTGGTGCACACTACTTTGCTTGAAGATTTTTTCTGCCAGGACTTTCTTTACTGGTTGGAAGCTCTTACACTACTAGGTAATCTAGCTGAAGGAGCGACAGCGATGCTGAAACTTGAAAGATTGATAGAGGTATGTGTTATTTATTATTTTGCAATCAGCTATTCTAACTTAAATATAGACAAAGGAGGAATATGAAGTACTACATAAGAGGATTCGAGATGCATACCGCTTTATCATATATCATAAGCCGATGATAGAGGATTATCCACTTCAAGTATACACCTCAGCGATATTCTTTAGTCCTCGGAGCAGTATCACAAGGACTCAATTTGAGTCTGAGGAACTAAGATGGATGAACGCCAGGTCAATGATAGGCGAGAGCTGGAGTGCCTGCCTGCAGACGCTCGAGGGCCACGGTGGCTGGGTCCAGTCAGTGGTCTTCTCGCATGACTCCAAGCTGCTAGCGTCTGCTTCCCACGACAATACTGTCAAGCTATGGAACGCCGCCAGCGGCGCCTGCTTGCAGATATTTAAGGGCCACAGTGGCTCAGTTCAGTCAGTAGTTTTCTCACATGACTCTAAGCTACTGGCATCTGCTTCCCGCGATAATACTATCAAACTGTGGAATACCGCCAGCGGCGCCTCTCTGCAGACACTTAAGAACCACAGTGGCTGGATTCAGTCAGTGGTCTTCTCGCATGACTCTAAGCTGCTGGCGTCTGCTTCCGACGATAAGACTATTAGACTGTGGATTACTGTTAGTGGTGCATGCCTGCAGACGCTCAAGGGCCACGGTAGCTGGGTCCAGTCAGTGGTCTTCTCGCATGACTCCAAGCTGCTGGCGTCTGCTTCCCGCGACGAGACTGTTAAGCTATGGGATGCTGCTAACGGCGTCTGCCTGCAGACACTCAAGGACCACAGTAGCTTAGTCCAATCAGTGGTTTTTTTCACATAACTCCAAGCTTCTAGCATCTGCTTCTTACGATAAGACAGTTAAGCTGTGGGATGCAGCCAGCGGTACCTGCCTGCAGACACTTAAAGGCCACAGTGGCTGGGTTCAGTCAGTGGTCTTCTCGCATGACTCTAAGCTGCTGGCGTCAGCTTCCCATGACAAGACTGTTAAGCTGTGGAATGCCGTTAGTGGTGCATGCCTGCAGACGCTCAAGGGACACAGTGGCTGGGTTCAGTCAGTGGACTTCTCGCATGATTCCAAGCTGCTGGCGTCTGCTTCCCGCGACGAGACCGTCAAGCTATGGGATGCCGCCAGCGGTTCCTATCTGCAGGCACTCGAGGGCCACAGTGGCTCGGTTCAGTCAGTGGTCTTCTCGCATAACTTTAAGCTGCTGGCGTCCGCTTCCCGCGATAACACTGTTAAGCTGTGGGACGCCGCCAGCGGTGCCTGCCTGCAGACGCTTAAGGGCCATAGTGGCTGGGTCCAGTTAGTGGTCTTCTCGCATGAATCCAAGCTGCTGGCGTCTACTTCCCATGATAAAACTGTTAAGCTGTGGGATGCCGCCAGCAGCACCTGCCTGCAGACATTCAAAGGCCATATCAGCTGGATTCAGTTAGTAGTTTTTTCACATAACTCCAAGCTGCTGGCGTCTGCTTCCCATGATAATACTATCAAGCTGTGGGATACCACTAGTGGTATCTGCCTGCAGACACTTAATGGCCACAGTGGCTGGATTCAGTCAGTAGTCTTCTCGCATGACTCCAAGCTGCTGGCGTCAGCTTCCCGCGATAATACTGTTAAGCTGTGGGAGGCTGCTAGTGGTGCCTGCCTGCAGACACTCAAGAGCCATATTGGCTGGGTTCAGTCAGTGGTCTTCTCGTATAACTCTAAGCTGCTGGCGTCTGCTTCCTATGATAAGACTGTTAAGATTTGGGACGCTACTAACGGTACCTGCCTGCAGACACTCGAAGGTCATAATAGCTGGGTTCAGTTAGTGGTTTTCTCGCATGACTCTAAGCTGCTGGCGTCTGCTTCCCACGATAAGTCCGTCAAACTATGGGACGCCGCCAGCGGCGCCTGCCTGCAGACGCTCAAGAGCCACGTTGGCTGGGTCACAAAACATGGTCTGGATAACCTAATTTTGACTTACCTTGCGAAGTCGCCATCCTCCCAGGCAAATCCTGAAATATTGTATTCTCAGGGATTTGGAATAAGTCCTGATCGAACCTGGGTTACATGGAACTCAGAAAAGCTGTTGAAGTTGCCATCAATTTTTAAGATATCAGCCTCCGCTGTAACATATTCGACTATTTGTATTGGTTTTGAATCAGGGCAAGTTCTTATACTGAGCTGTGAACGTCACTAGCGTTGTCTGCTTAGATTTAGGAGTACATGGAAATGTGACATCTTCTCAAATATGGTCTTCTACTATCTTCTATTTCTTAATCTTCTTGTAAAAGGAGGCCTGCAACTAGTTAAATATTTATTCAGAGAGCTTTTGCCCACTGCATGCTTGTAGATTCTGTTAGCTTCCACCTGAATATAGATCTTAGCTTATTGTTACTCATGATAAATCTCTGGGTCCCGTGACGCGGGAACGGGCCCAATAGCCCCGTCTTCCTTACCACCACACTTTTCCCATGTACGTAACATAACAAGCAATTAATAATTATTGAATGGCTTCATTCTCCCACCGTCTTAGGCAATAGATGTCCTCTTGCTTGATAGAACTGAATGGCCTGAGAGACGAAATCGCCCAGGGCAGCATCAATGGTTAATAGTGGACAGCCGTGGCCTTAGGCATAAATCTTATGCAAATCTCTAAGTCCATTACCGATAGACAGCTTTTATTCGTCAAAAGGAATGGGAATATTACTTCGCCCGAGTCGCTTGTCGAGGAAAAATCAGAGTTCTCCAGCAGGATATCGCGTTACTTTTCGGCTGGTGGTATGTCTGCTTTCCTTCTCGCGGTGTTACAAGACACCCGTGCTAAATGACAGAAACAGTCCGCCACAGGACCTTCGGCGACATCCTCTTCCTCGAATACCAAACCGTTAGCATTGCGATAGAATCTCTACGCTGAGCCAGAGCGAGGCTCAGGCGCCAAATGCCCGTCTGGGCTTTCTATCGAATGGTCAGCGCCTCGATCTCCTTTCCCAAGGCTCACGCCGCCATGCATACTTCGGAAGAGCATCCGCCCATCTCGGGTCATGAACCCGCTCAGCACCAGCAACAGCACAAATAAAATCCCCCAAAACCAGAGCTCAAACGCTAAATAGACCATCTCGCCATCCTTTCACCATCAGATTCCCCCAATCATGACCACCTGCACGCCATCCTCCCGCTTCTCCTCGTCCCCCTACATCTCCCCGGACCGTATCTTCGAATTAACCGCCCAATACCTGGACGACCCCAGCCCTCAGAAAGTCAACCTCGGCCAAGGCACATACCGTGACAGCCACGGCCAACCGTGGGTGCTCCCCGCCGTGGCTGCCGCACGCAACCGCCTGACGGCCACCGGCCTGAACCATGAATACCTCCCGATCCTGGGTCATCCGGTCTTCCGCACGCTGGCCCCACAGCTCGCCCTCGGATCAGCCCTGCACGCCAGTCTTGCTTCCCAGATAGCCGCTTGTCAGTCGCTCTCGGGAACGGGGGCATTGCATCTGGCCGGGCTGCTTCTTCGACACCTCCACGACATCCAGCCCCGGCAAGGGCTCGCCACCCCTGCTCTGCCGAAAGTCTACATCCCAAGCCCCACCTGGTCGAACCACCACCAAATCTTCACCTCCCTAGGGTTTGAAGTCGTCTCGCTGCCCTATTACGCCGCGATCACCCGCTCCCTGGCGCTGGAACCCTATCTCGCCGCCTTGGCCGCGGCGGAGCGCAACAGCGTGGTGATCCTGCATGCGTGCGCGCACAATCCCTCGGGGTGTGATCCGACGCCCGCGGAATGGCGGCAGGTCGCGCAGATCGCCAAAGAACGGAACCTCTTCCCCCTCTTCGATGCTGCATACCTGGGGTTCAACTCGGGGGATCTTGACGAGGACGCCGCGGCGATTCGGTTGTTTGCGGGCGAGGAGTTCGGGCTCGAGATTGGGGTGTGTATGTCCTTTGCGAAGAATATGGGGCTCTATGGTATGATTTCCCTTCATTTTCGCGGGCTGTATGGTGGAGGGGTGTTGCGGAGTTGAAGGCCGGATTGGGACTACGACTCGCGGAGGGAAACGGCGGGTTACGGTATGCTAATCGAACGATAGGCGAGCGGACGGGGTGCTTCTTCCTCACCGCACATACCAAAACAGCAGCCAGGAATACGGAGTCGGTTTTGGAAGTGTTGCAGCGACGGGAAGTATCGAATCCACCCGCTTATGGGGCGAAGATTGCGGCCATGATTCTGGGGAATGAGGAGCTGGGGAAGATGTGGAAGGAGGACTTGCAGACCATGAGTGGACGGATTCGGGAGATGAGGGGCCAGCTGGTCGAGGGGCTGGTCAAATATGGTGAGTCTGACCTATACCAGGCTGCTGAGGTCGGATGACGACGACAGGATGCAGGGTTGATGACGGTTGTGCTGACAGTTACAGGGGCCCCCGGCGACTGGGCGCATTTGGTGCGCCAGACCGGGATGTTTGGATTTCTCGGACTAGAGGAGGGCGTCGTAAAGGAGTTGCGGGGTGGGTGATTTCTACTCAAGCCAGTTCTCATTGTTTAGACGCTAACAAAATCAGAGGAGGATCATATTTACATGGCGGATAATTCGCGCGTGTCGATCGCTGGGTTAAATCCAGGGAATGTCGAGTATGTAGCCAGAGCAATCGCAGAGCGCCTGCGGAAGCGAAATGCTTAATTTGAGGGAGTCATAGATGAATACCGAGAGAACACGGGTAACGTTGGCTTGATGCAGGGCGCTTTATTCATTGCATGCCAGTCCTATTCAGACGAGCTTGTTCTGCTTTCGGCCGTTCCACCAGTTCAACGTTCGGTAGCCAGCATTGGGCTTTTTCTTGGTAAACATGGTCATCGATTCAATCTTCAAGTGTCAACTGAGTGACATAGCCGCCAACTCGTCCCTGTGATTGTGTGTAACAACTGGTCGATACATGAACCTCGGATGTTAGTCAGGACTCCCCTCGGCTGAGTGGCCAAGGCAGTCGTATCCTCCTAATTGCTGGTTGCATGCTATAGAACGGGCCCCAGACGCGCTTTTATCATCAGTCCTAGTGCATATCATGAAGGCGGAGTCTAGAATGACAACGTACGACTTCGGCTAACTAGGACGAGGGATCTTTAAGCCCATGTGCAATATAAAGGTTCTATCTCTCTCCCATAACGACACAGCCAATTGTCGCTGGAGGTACCTTGAGGTTATTGCTCATCCGTGCAGATGTCCCGCTTCGACTGGTGGAGCTCCAGGACACCAAGCCCGCCTTTCATAACTCTGCTTGTATCTCGGCTTCGACTCGGCTTCCCTCGGGTGATTTGACCTCCATGCCTAGCCCGAGTAGCCACTTTCCGGTGTGTGGGTGATCGATGTGACTGAGAGCTTTGTCATGGATGTCAATGCCTGAACGCGTATGCTCGTCAATGCAAAGCTCGCTCCGGAACCCGAAAACGAGGTTACTTATTGCGATTTAATACATCCTTCAAAGTGGCGTGGCAGATATTGAGGATCGACATACTCTGATTAGCTAGGCCTTATCAGTAGATCAAACAACAGATGAGTTGAGCTGCATTGGTGACATACGCGCTCCAAGATTCCAGAGGTAAGTTGTCAATTGGCAGAATCAAGAGCTTGGACAACGTCCGTGATCCAAGACCCTTCGCTTCGTTCCTCCATGGTAAACTTCAGTGACAGGGCGGCAATCCCCTTGATCTTCTCCTTGTGAGGCCCCCACCTTGTTGAGCCTTTCGTTCTCAAAGAGTCTCGAAGGTTCCTCGCTCGGTCTTCTTCTACTAAGTCAATCGGAGGAGCGGAGTGCTGCTCTGAGGCGACGCGCTCGATCCATTCCGCGATTGATTCTCGATCATCTCTGTTCATTCGCGTGCATCAGTAGAACGCATTACCTTGAAGTGATGAGTTGTTCAGGTCGGAAGTAAGAGAAACTATGGAAGTTCACGTAGTCGTTGTTCTTTATTTACCTCGGATAGCCCGTGACTCCACCAAACGATCCACGGCCCCAGCTGAATTATTGTTCCTGTGCCTTGACCTCCAACGTTGCAGAGCTTCGGCTCTGCTCCATACTTGCTCGTGAACAATAACCCATTCACTATTTACCTAGAAATCCTCTTCACAACTCCTCTATCAAGACACCATGGGAAAAGCCCAGCATTCTCTGATCGCAAGACTATCATCAACGAACGAATTTCGTTGGTTTCTGCAGTACCTCTTGCCGCCAATAGCCTCCCTGAAGGACTGACAGTTCTCATCGCATCACAATCCCATAGAACCGAGTCTAATTCAGCATGTTTCGCACAATCTCAGCCCTACTCCGAACTCGATGATTAGCAGTAGCATTATCCAGCTCACACCAGAGATACTCACACCACAAACGTCCCAGCAGACGCCGGCATCGCCCTCAACAACGCCGGCCCGATCCCATAGAACAACCCCCGCAATCCACTCACAGCCCACGTATCCCGCACCACATGTTCCACCCCACGATATTTCCTCTCAGATCCCAACCCATCACTCTGCATTCGGCTCTTAATCACATCGATCGGATGGCTCAACAACCAGAGCGCCTCCCCCGCCAAACCCCCATACACCGCAATCTGCCAGCCCGGTAACTCCTCGCGCCGTTTGCGCTGCCGATGCATGGCCCACCGAACCAGCCCCTCATACGTCGCGAACCACACTCCGTACCCATGCATCTCACGAACAACCGTCATCAGTTGCCCCCGATACAACCCTGCCAGCCCGCCCGCCCTCATCAATTTTCGTGCACAGTCAAACGGCCCCATGTAGATTCTTCCCGTGCCGTGCGGTTGCGTCTGAAGTCTGATGCGGATATGCTCCACTGGGCCCGAGACGATACTAGTCACCAGCCCTGAACCAGCACCAGCGATGTAAAACTGAGGAAGGGAGAGGGTCCGATCATGCGAGGGGCGGGTTTGGAGATTGCGTGATTCGATCGCTTGGCGGAAGGTATGCAAAGCTCCGAACGAAATGCTGACCTATAACCCTTGTGAGGTCTTGAGACAGAGCCGGTAGAAAAAAAAAGATACGCACGCAAACGCCAACCCCCAGCAAGGGCATAAGCGTGCCCTGATTTGCGGCACTGTCTCAGCATGAAACTTCCATTACCCCTTGAGCAGCAACAAACCTTGTAGAATGCGAGGGCACCTTCCTTGGCCCAGATGTGGCGAGTAGCAGACCACGCATCCCCGCCTTCTTGAGTCTGCAGACGAACCTTGACAAGGTCTGGGCTGTGAGAATGTCTGTCTTGTTCAGGGTAGCGGTGGCTTACCGAATGGTTGTCCTGGACGCGTCAGCGTTGCTTCGGAGCATTGGGCAAAGAGTCTTACCGATGAGGACCTGTGCAACTCCACCAGCTGCACCAGCAGTCACGTCCTTGGCGGTCTGCCTCCATTCTTGGGATCTGGGCACCTCTAATGTGGGAATTTGGTCACTCATCTTGGATTGGGGTCCTACTCGCGTGCTATATGAAGACAATGGGTGAAAGATCCAAGAAATAGACACGCCTAGGAGCACATCCATTCTAGTCGTGGTCAGAGGAGGGTTCCATGCTTGATAGACTAGATTTCCCCACGTTCGGGTATTGTTCCGAGAGACTCTGCACGGTCATCGCCATGTTTCGGGATCCGACTCCGACCCTTGATACGGGTTGCGAGTGGCTTGCCTGTATCTTTGGGTATGGCTTTATGGTCTCTAGGAAGGATTGAAACTCATCAGCCCCTTCGCGGTCGCGAGCTGTTAAGTTAAGGGCCATGCTCCTGTCAACACTGTCCTGGAAAATCCAACGTAATCCCTCGTCATACCATGGGCTACAGCAAAACAGCCATAAACTGAGAAACCAACCACTTTTCAAGCTCAGAGCTCTCCATTCTGTTTGAAACAATAAGAATCAGTTCGTCGCGACGATCTTATATGATTCTCGTGATGGGGATGTGAGGAGCATGCGGAAGGAAGAGGACGCCAGAAATATAACATCGAGAGGATTGACGGGGCCCTGTCGAGTATCACGGGGGGCTACACGTTATACGAAGCTCTTGCCAATTTCACTGCGCTCGTGGTGAACTGAACCATTTCGGGAGGTGGCCGTCCTCTTCAGCCTTTTCTCATGGGGCGAAAGAAAACATTTACTGTCGGTGATACTGTCCAGGCTTATCTGATCCGAAGGCCGTTATTAGACTATCATCACGAGACTTGGTCACATGCACATTGGCTGCTCTGATCAGCCCTAAGATTGAGAGGACTTCCACGGCGGCCTAGAAGCTTTGCTTGCAGACAGACTATGGCGAGTATGGTCTAGAAGCTTGCTGCATCTTAGGCCGGTGTGCCTGAACCTAGCTCATGAAACGGCCTTGAAACAGAATCATGCTGGAATCGAGGCTCTGCGTCTAATTATACATCACTCTTTTCTGTGGAAACTGAAGATCAACCTTCGAGGTCAATTCAGCTTCTCCCAAACCCTCCATGTCGACATACTTGACTCGAGGTTATTTATATCACAGGTAGCTATACAAACCCCGTCAGGGACTTTCAAGTACAGCAAGCATAATAAGGGGGGTGGGGGCTCTACTCCGTATACTGGAGTCATTTGTCTCATATTGTGCCAGCTCTTAGTGTACTGTAAGTTACAATTCGAATGATAAGTGTCTACTTTCCACGGTACGGTTGCTGGCTGTTCTCAATCTCTTAGTCACGAGAGTGAGTGAGTTAGAATGTCCCAGCTCCTCAGAATAGAGCTCTCCACTTGAGGGTCGACCCCTAGCATCTGAGCATCAACCTGTGACTCAGAGCACCTCGATTGCTATTCTTGACCTCTATCGCCCACTGCTCCTTGAGTGTTGGGAGAGGAGGAGGGGGAGCGGGTACCAGGGAACGACAGTTTGAGTTGGTCACGAATATAGATTAACCTTCCATAACACCACCAATCCAGTGAGCCTTGACCCTCGGGGTTCCCCAGATCGAACCGAAAGAGTCATGCTTAGATCTACAAAATGATAATCGGAGTGGCATCGGGGCTGGACCCCGGAGTGACTCATGTGACGGACCCCGAAGTGGGAGCCGAGACTAACCACATCCAGCCCAGGCCGCTTGCGGCAACCCACGGTTTATCCACCGAGAAACCAATCAGCAGCCGTGTAATCCGACATCGGCCGGGGAGCAATTGTCTAACTCCGGATCACGTGAATCGCCGCCGGCCGATCTCGTCCCCAGCAACGAGTTTATAAACTGGACGAGAGTTCCAGCTGTCCTCCTTTCTATTCTTCTCCTTCTTCCCCATCTCATCAATTCTGTTCCACTCTCCTCTCTTCCCTTCATCCTCCTCCTCCATACTCCCTTCGCCTCTTTTATCCTTCCTTCTTTCATCCTATTCCTCATCCACACACATACACACAATGGCCTCTCGTGGACTTCCCCGTGCCCTCCGCCTGGCCCGCGTTGGTGCCCCTCGCTCCGTGCTCTCCGCCGCCCTCCCCCGGCCCGCCCTCAAGGCTGCCACCGCCGCCGTTCCCCGCGTGACCGCCGCCCCGATCACCCCCGCCCGCGGCGTCAAGACCATGACCTTTGCCGACAGCCAGGAGACCGTCTACGAGCGTGAGGACTGGCCCCGCGAGAAGCTCCAGGAGTACTTCAAGAACGACACCCTTGCCCTCATCGGCTACGGCTCCCAGGGTCACGGCCAGGGTCTGAACCTGCGCGACCAGGGCCTCAACGTCATCGTCGGTGTCCGCAAGGACGGTGCCTCGTGGAAGGAGGCCATCCAGGACGGCTGGGTTCCCGGCAAGAACCTGTTCGACGTCGAGACCGCCGTCAAGAAGGGTACCATCGTCATGAACCTGCTCTCCGACGCCGCCCAGTCCGAGACCTGGCCCCAGCTGAAGCCCCTGATCACCAAGGGCAAGACCCTGTACTTCTCCCACGGTTTCTCCCCCGTCTTCAAGGAGAAGACCAAGGTCGAGGTCCCCGAGGACGTCGACGTCATCCTTGTCGCCCCCAAGGGCTCTGGCCGCACCGTCCGCTCCCTCTTCCGTGAGGGCCGCGGCATCAACTCCTCCGTCGCCGTCTTCCAGGACGTCACCGGCAAGGCCAAGGAGAAGGCCATCGCCCTGGGTGTCGCCGTTGGCTCCGGATACCTGTACGAGACCACCTTCGAGAAGGAGGTCTACTCCGACCTGTACGGTGAGCGTGGCTGCCTGATGGGCGGTATCCACGGTATGTTCCTCGCCCAGTACGAGGTCCTCCGTGAGCGTGGCCACAGCCCCTCCGAGGCTTTCAACGAGACCGTCGAGGAGGCCACTCAGTCCCTCTACCCCCTGATCGGTGCCAACGGCATGGACTGGATGTACGCCGCCTGCTCCACCACCGCCCGCCGTGGTGCCATCGACTGGTCCGCCCGCTTCAAGGACAACCTCAAGCCCCTCTTCAACGAGCTGTACGACGCCGTCCGCGACGGTACCGAGACCCAGCGCTCCCTGGACTACAACTCCCAGAAGGACTACCGCGAGAAGTACGAGAAGGAGATGCAGGACATCCGTGATCTCGAGATCTGGCGCGCCGGAAAGGCTGTTCGGTATGTTCCTCCCGGAAATCTATCATTGTCAATCGACACCAATGCTAATTTGGAAATGTCTACAGCTCCCTCCGCCCCGAGAACCAGAAGTAAACCAGCCACTTCATCTTTTCTTGAATTCTTTGAGATCGGGATAGAAACCCCTGGGGGGAAAAGTTTTACGACTGTACTATGATGTGAACTGTTTAGGATTTCCTTTTTCCTGTTTTCTTTTTGTTCAAACCTATCCTACCTATTGGTGTATAATCGGAAATATCATTACCATAAATTTTTACTTTCTTCCGCTTCTCGTTCTCAATACTTAGCCACTATTTAGATCCGAAGACACACTCGAAGCATTGCCAGAGAAAAAAGTGTATGACTCATCAACCCGGCAAAATCCGGGGAAAGGTCGAGGTCGAGGTCGAGGTCGAGGTCGAGGCTTTCTTCCCTCCCCTCCCCCCACTTAAAATCGACTGTGCGTTCCGGGCTCGGCTGCAGCTGCCGTATCTCACGTCTGAATGGCTCAGTCGGAGTGCGGACCACGACTCCGGGAGCCCGATCTTCAGCTACCGACCATGAAGCAACACCACCGTGTGCCCCGATAACGGGAAACCTGCAACAATGTCACCCAATGAATTAGGGGGAAAGAAAGAGAACAAAACGCTCGGTCTCTTCGATGAACTTTGTGTCTATAGGAGTTGTTTTCAGCATGTTACATTCTGAACCTGATTATGAACTTGATATCTAGGCAGACGATCCTCAAATCCACGTCGTAAGTGACCCAAGGGTCAGAAGGACTGCAAACGCTGTAAAGCATCAACTAACCACGGAACTTCGATCGCCTGTATCCATCCATCTCTGTCGCTGTCTACATGTAGCTTACCTTCCACTACCGACAAAGCAGGATATGCTTACCACGACCTAACCTCGTACCTACTGCTTCCAACAAGAAAACGGACGAGAAACACCTCAAACAAAAATGGTATATGTCTAAATCATCCCCTCGAAAATCCTCTCTACCCTTATCCACCGAACGTGAACAACCTAGTCACGCCTGTTCCTTTTTTCCCTTTTTCTCCTTCGCCTTCTCCTTCTTCTCATTCTTTGGCCGCTCAGCCAGCGTCTCCTCTGGGGGCGCGGGCACGGGGTTGGGGTTTCCCTTCCATTCGAGCTTGCGGGGCTTCATGTACGCGGCCAGCACCTCGTCCGAGACCTCCTTGCGCTTCTCCTGGAACTGCGCGACGTACTCCTGCAGCACCTCGATGGTCATTTTCTTCAGCTCGCCCGTCAGCAGATCCCCCTTCTTGTAGCTGTCGTACACCTCGGCCAGCTTGGCATCGTCCTCCTCGAAGTAGGTCAGGTAGATGTATGAGACGTCGACGTCCGGATTGCCGCCCAAGCGGCGGTGGTCCTCGATGCTGACCTGGCCGCCACTGAAGGCGTACTTGTTGATCTTGGTCTGTTACACACAAGAAGAATGAATTAGTGAGGGGGCAGGGAATTTGAATGCTTGGGGAAATTGAGGTACGTACTTTGATCTGCTTAGCAGTATCGGTCATGAAGATCGCCGAGTTGGGTTCCGACGCAGACATCTTGCCGCCGGCACCTTGCAAGGCCGTGAGGAACTTGGAGTGGATGAGCGCCGGCTTCGGGGACGGGAACTTCATGCGGTGGGCGTTTTCACGGAGCAGACGGAAGTACGGGTCCTGGTCGATACCCATGGGGATCAGACATTGGATTTTGGCGATCTCTTGCGTGCGTTCCTGGAGGGGCTCGTCCTTCCAGATCTCGGGGTAGGAGGTCGCGAAGGCGGCGACACACTGCACGGCGGGGAAGAAGATGCGGCCGACGTTGGTGCTACCAACCAAATAGGACAGGTGTCAGAAAAGAGATGAGTCGTCAGCATAGATACAGCAGAACATACCTCTCGTTGAACCCGAACGCGCCACGGACTTGGTTGAAAGTGACCAGACTGGAGAACTCCCAGGCGTTCATCAAAATGTGGTTGCTGATGTACTTCAAGTCGCTGTAGATAAAGGTCTTCTTCAGGTCAAATCCAAGCGCAATAATATCCTTGGCGTTCTCCATGGCGAAACCCAGAGCATCCTCAAAGGAGATGTTGTCCTTGAACAACGCCTTCTCGTCGTCCGTAAGCATGAAGACGAGCGGGACGTCGAATACATCCTGCAGCCACTTGGTGAACTGGAGGGGAATGGTGTGACCGAGGTGCAGACTG